AATTAGAATAACTGATATAAATTTTCCAAAGGATAAACACTTAAGACATTTTTCTACAACACACTATATTCAAAAATTGGCAAACGGAGAAAAACATGAAAGAAAATGGTTAATTTACTCTAACGATTTGGATAAAGTTTTTTTGTTTTTGTTGTAAATTATTTAGCATAACTTATGTTGTTTGTAACAATAAACTAGCTAATGAAGGTAGTGTTGATTGGAGAAATCTTAGTGCTAAGCTTAAAGCTCATGAAGTAACGAACGAACATATTATTAATATGAACTCGTGGATTGATTAAGAAATGAGATTGCATAAAAACATAACAATTGATAAAAATGTGCAGGAACAAATTAATAGAGATAGAGTACACTGGAAAAATGTGTTGTCAAGAATTATTGATGTGATCAAAACTCTTGGGAAAAATAATTTGGCATTTAGTGGAACAAATGAAAAAATCTATCAAGAAAGTAATGCTAATTTTTTAAGCCTAATTGAAATGATTGCTGAATTTGATCCAGTTATGCGAGAACATATTCGGCGAATTAAGCACGACAAAATTCATGATCATTACCTTGGACATAATATACAAAATGAATTGATAAACTTATTGGCAAGTGAAGTCAAGAATAAAATTATTAAAGAGATTAAAGAAACAAAATATTTCTCAATCATACTTGATTGCACTTCGGATGCAAGCCATCAAGAACAAATGACTTTTATATTACGGAGTGTGAATATTTCAACTAATCCAATAAAAATTAATGAATATTTCTTAGAATTTTTAAAAGTGGATGATACAAGTGGAAAAGGTCCTTTTGAAGTTATTATAGATGAGATAAAATATATTGAACTTGATATTGATAATTTAAGAGGACAGGGATATGATAATGGATCAAATATGAAGGGAAACCATCAAGGAGTGCAAAAAAGACTTCTCGATGTAAATCCTAGAGCATTTTATACACCTTGTGGTTGTCATAATTTAAATTTGGTACTTTGTGATATGGCTAATTTTTATACGAAAGCTGTCTCATTTTTTGGAGTGATACAACATATATATACGCTATTTGCTTCTTCTACCAAGCAATGAAATTTTTTAAAAGATTTTGTACCCAATCTAACTCTTAAATCATTGTCACAAACTCGTTGGGAAAGTTGTGTTGAAAGTATTAAAGCATTAAGATTTAAAGCTCTACAAATAAGAGATGCTTTATTGAAAATAGAAGAAGTTAGTGAAGATCCAAAAACTAAAAGTGAAGCTACTTGTTTAGCAACATATGAGCTTGAAAATTTTGAATTTTTATTGGGTATGACATATTAGTTAATTCAATTAGTAAAAGTTTACAATCTAAGGATATGCATATTGATGTTGCCATAGATCAGTGAAGAAGCCTAATTTCATTTTTCAAAAAATATCGAGAAGAAGGATTTGTGAGTGCTATGATTTCTACTAAGAAAATTGCATATGAGATGAATATAGAACCTGAATTTCGTAAGAAACGCATAACATTTAGAAAGAAACGATTTGATGAAAATAATGATAATGAAATCACAAAGTCTCTTGAAGAATCTTTAGAGTTGATTACTTTATATATATATATATAGTAGATCAAGCTATTTTTTCACTTCAAAATAGATTTGAACAATTTGAAGCATATGAAAATATTTTTGGTTTCTTACTTAATGGTAAAAAATTGAGATCACTAAATGATGAGAATTAAAAAAACATTGTCTTAACCTTGAACTTTCTTTAACACATAATAGTTATTCTGATATTAATGGTTTAGATTTATTTTTTGAATTAAAAGTGTTAAGGGAAATAATACAAGTAGAAAATAATGATCTAATGGAAATACTCAATCCAATAAAAAAAACTTTATTCTTTTCCTAATGCATGTATTGCTTATAGAATAATGTTAACAATTCCTGTAACCTTTGCCTCAGCCGAAATAAGTTTTTCGAAACTAAAATTGATAAAATCTTATCTAAGATCAACAATGTCTCAAGAGAGATTGAATGGATTAGCTATATTATCAATTGAAAAAGAATTACTAAAACAAATCGATTATAAAACAGTAATTAATGAATTCGCATCTAAAAAAGCTAGAAAAGTAGATTTTAAGTAAAAGTATATAGGATGATTTTTTAATTTTTTTTTAAGGCCCCTCTCTATGATTTGGCTTTAGGCCCCCAATGTTGTTGGGTCGGTCCTGGATCAGATTATCACTCTTGGAAGACTATGCAACATTGATGGCCAAAGCTTGGGAATTACGAGTGAGAAACAAATATTATCCATTGCGATTTTGAAGTGGGATCCTTGGTTCAACCCAGCAGAGGAAATAACTATTGCAATTGCATGGATATCGTTTCTAGGGTTGCCAACAAATCTGTTAGACAAATAGTCTTTATTCTCTCTAGCTAATGCAGTGGGAAATCCATTAGTGATTGACAAAGCCACAAACAATCAAACAAGACCTAGTTACGCACGGATAAAAGTGGAAGTCGATTTACTCAAGTATTTGCCTAAGAGAATTCAGATAAACTCTGTGGAAGAAGAAACAGGAGCAGTGAGATCAAAGTGGCAAAGAATCCAATATGATTACCTTCCAAAGTATTGCACACATTGTAGTCTACAAGGGCATGACTTACTGATTTCACGTATCAGGACACTTCATCCAATATTAAGTGCCAACGATCGTAAAGTAGTAATATAACCCAACTAGTGAGTTGGGGTCGAGTCCCAAGGGAGTGGTTCGTAATTGAGAATCAATAGGCAAGTAAGAATATGCTCAACTCAATCATAGCTAAAAACATTTACGAATAAAAACATGGTTTAAATTATAAGTGACACAAGTGTCAAATATCAGAGGGGTTGGTTTCAATTATCAACTAAAACAGCGAATAACACGAAAAGAACAATTATAGAGACGGGATTCTTGGTATGTGATAGGATTATGAGCTAAGATAGACAACCGGGTAATTGCAATTAATAGTAAACAATTGTGAATCAGTGATTAAGCTAGACTTTAGTGGAGATAAACTTTCTCTCGAACAATTTACCCCGAATAAAATTGATTTCTCTTGAACACCAATAAGCAGCAATTAAGCACAACCTTCGCTTTAAGTCCATTCACTCTCTCAAGTTGAATATGTGGAAAAGGGTTTAGGGTTCACTCTCTCGAGCTGAACTCATGACAACCCAATACCCACAGACCATCGATTCAGTAATTTTTGTTTTAAAATCTCTCTCTCGAGCAAGCCAAAAACACGAAGTTAAGATTGTATTTGCAACTACAACCCATTAAATTCAACCACAATTACTGAACGAAAACACCTTTAAACAGCAATTAAACTATCAATTAACAATACCCAACAATTATATCAACCCATAATCACACCCCAAGAATTGTAGTTTTAACTAGACATCATAAAAAGATAAAAATCATTACCAAGTTGTGTTTCCATCAACTGGATAGGATTGATATTGTCTTTACAAAGGTCTAAGATGAAGAATCTTCAACACTCACTTCCAATTTCTCAGAAATGGAAATCTTCAAATCTTCAAAGCTAAGGAAATATTTTATCTCCAAAAAAAACTCAGTTCTAAGCTCTCAACTTGAAAACTAAATGTTAGACTGCATACTAACTAAGAATTTAAAAATGTATTATAGTTGTCAAAAAATGTGTTGCGAAGGACCATTCGGCACCGTAAATCGGGATCGCCGATCCACTCGACGATCCGCCCTTTGGTCAATTTCATCGCCTTTTTGCTTTGGCCTTCAGCATCTTCAAGCTCTGTAACTTTGGGCGATATGGTACTGCATCGCGGAACTGTTCACCGACTCGCCGACTGCTCCATTCGATCGCCTACTTGATTTTCTCCTTCAGGGCTTGGCACACTGGAACATTAGGCGAGACATCAGCCATTCGGCGATTCGCCCAATGGATTAGGCGATCCTCAGGCCTTCTTTTCTTCGTCTTTTCAGCTGCCTTGTTCCTTTTTGCTCATTAGTGTCCATGCTTTGTTCCTCAATCCAAATACCTGAAATTCAAGGATTTATATCAGTTATTGACACAAAATATGCATTTGAGGACACTAAATCTATTAAAATAAAGCCTAAATGAGTCCAAATAGTGGACTCATAACTTACAAGGATGCTGGATTTTACATCCAGAACATAGACCAAAGAAAGAAGAAAACAAAGTTAAGACTGATGATAAATACACAGCCAAAGAAGAGGAGACTAATAAGAAACAGCCTACCAATGATCTAGAAGTGAATGGAGTTTACAAGAATGGGAGGTTAATACATCAGAATTTGAATGTAGTCCAAAACAAGAAAAATAAAGACAAACAACTAGAACCCATTCAGGAGAATCAAGAAAAAGGACAAGAGCAATACAAGGATGAGCAGCACGACAAGGAGAGAAGAGAAATCAACGATACTAATACCTTTAACAAGTTTGAGGCATTAGTGGATCTGACAGACGAAAAACCTAAAAGCACAAAGAAGATAACAAATGATCTATCAACTAATGAATCTAATAAAAAAGAGACATCCAAACCATGGGTAGAAGCATCATTTGGAAAAAAAAGGCAGGAAAAAAGTAATGGTTTAGACAAAACTCAAGCAGAAGAGTTAACAAAGTTAGCCGACAAGCAAACAGAGAATACATCCAATACAATTGTGTCCATACAATCTATAAGCAGTAAAGATTCACAAGGAGTACAACAAAAATACAACAGAATAGAGAACACAGGAAACTCATCAAACAGGGAACCTCAAGGCAGAACTAATAACACTCAGTAGATTGACATACAACCAACCAGTCCAGAAAACTTAGTAGAGATACATAAGACCAAAGAACCACCAGACCACAAGCAATCATCATTGGGGGATCAGGTACCTGCAATTTCAGTGGAGACAGAATCATCATCAGTAGCAAATTCAACACAAATCAATCAAGACACTGCAAACAGCAAAGAAAGAAATACAAAGATGAAAACAGATGCTATAGTGGAGCAGCTAGAAGTTCCTAACAATGAAGTAGATATTGGAGATGATAATGAATTAGAACACACCACAGATACAATATCGATACATAATAAAGGTGATATATCTCCTAGATTGCTTGCAAAGGCCAAGAAAGATGGTAAACAAATAAAAAAACAAAGATAAAAGTGTACCTCCTAAGTTAAAAGAAGGAGTACAAACAAGGACAGCTAGTACCAAAACCACTGCTCAATGATTTGTTCAATTATATGGAACATAAGGCATGTTAACACTCAACATGCTTTTGAGAGGGTAATAATGATGCACAGGCAGAAACACTTTAATTTCATATCACTTCTGGAACCATTTCAACATCACAGACATATTGACATGTATAAACTTTGGCTTGATATGGGGACAACTTATCACAATGTGAATGGTAAAATTTGGTTATTTGTAGAAGGAAGATTCCAGATTGAAGTCCAACTAGACATGGAACAATTGATATCCTTCAAGCTTACAAACAATGATGATGGACAAGAATTACAAGTAACAATTGTGTATGCTAGCACTGATAGACAAACTAGAATAGCACTGTGGGACGACTTACATGATATTGCAGCAAACATGTCTCTACCATGGGTGGTAGGAGGAAATTTCAACGTAATAACAGATGAAGAAGAAAAGTATGGTGGTTTACCCGTGCAATATAATGAAACAGAAGATTTTGTTCATTGTATAAACACTTGTCAACTAGTAGATTTGGGATTTAAAGGGAGTATATATACTTGGTGGAATGGTAGATCAGACACAACTTGCATTTTCAAAAGACTGGACAGATGCTTAGGAAATCAAGCTTTACAAATCAGTTTCCCTAATTTGGAAGTTGAACACCTCATTATACAAGGATCTGACCACTATCGTTTAATATTGACAACTAGAACAGACATGAGACATATAAGAAAGTCATTCAGATTTCTGAATTTTTGGGTGGAGCATGAGACTTTCCAGCAGGTGGTTGCAGATAACTGGCAGGAATCCTACAGTTCAGATCCCTTTTTTAACTTTCATAACAAACTGAAAAAGGTTAGCAGGCACTCTCAAAGTGGAGTAGGGACACTTATGGTGACATTTTCAAGCAAATAGCTACACTAGAAGAATTAGTGCAAGTCCGTGAGCAAGAATTTGAAACACACCCAACAGGCATTAACGGAGAAAGACTTCAAAAGGTACAAGCAGATTTAATCAAATTTTATGCCATAGAAGAAAAATTCTGGAAACAGAAGGTAGGAATGCAGTGGTTTGAAGATGGAGATGGGAATACTAAATTTTTTCATGTACATGTTAATGGAAAAAGGAAGAAACTGAACTTACAGAGGATACAAGATAATAGAGGACTGGCTAGATATAGAAGAAGACATTACCCGGGAGGCAATTAGATTCTATACTGACCAGTTCACTGAAAGTAATCTCAATATTGATTTTGAGATGTTAGAGTGCATTCCCAAGATGATAACCGAAGATCAAAATGCACAGATACATGAGATGCCAGATGAGGAGGAAGTAAAAAATGTAGTGTTTGGATTAAATTCTGATAGTACAGGAGGTCCAGATGTGTATGGATACACAGGGGAATTCTACCAAGCTTGCTGGAACATAATAGCCAAAGACATGACAAAAATGGTGCAGTCTTTTTTCTGTGGACATGAATTACCCAGGTACATTACTTGCACAAATCTAGCTTTAATTCCTAAGAAGAAAGATATCACTACCTTCTCAGACATGAGGCCTGTCAGTTTAAGTAATTTCACCAGCAAGGTTTTCTCGAGAATCATCCATGAGAGACTAGTAAAGTTTCTTCCAACTCTAATATCTCCACAACAGTCAGGATTAGTCAAAGGAAGGAGCATTGTAGAAAATGTTCTTTTAGTTCAAGAAATTGTTCATGACATCAGAATAAGATGAAAACCAGCTAATGTTGTCATCAAGCTAGACATGACAAGCTTATGACAGATTGTCATGGCTTTTCTTAACCAAAATATTGAGGAAGATGGGGTTTGGAGAGATCCTGACTGATATGGTGTACAGGATTATATCCAATAATTGGTACTCAATCCTTATCAACGGACAACCTCGAGGCTTTTTTAAATCTACCAGGGGGATTAAACAGGGTGATCCTTTATCACCAACACTATTTATCATGGCTGTTGAATGCCTATCTCGAGCCCTCAATGCTTTGCATCAAAATGATAGATATAAGGAGTATGGAATGCCGAAATGAAGCCCCTATGTGAATCACTTAGCATATGCAGATGACACTATCATTTTTGCCTCAGCGGATAAATTTTCATTAGAATTAATTATGAATACTCTGGCAAATTATGAGAAGGTTAGTGGGCAGCTTGTCAACAAATCCAAAAGTGCAGTCTTCATGCATCATCAGACTCGCCAAAATTTGATGGACCAGGTGTGCATAGTGACTAAGATCCCAAGAAAGGAATTTCCCTTCACCTAATTGGGTGTGCCAGTGTATTATAGTAGAAGACAAAATATCTTCTATAAAGAGATTCTAGACAAAGTGAAAAATAGATTAAGTTCCTGGACTGGGAAGTTATTATCTATTGGAGGAAGGACAACCCTGATTAAATCAGTCTTACAAAGTATGCCTATCCACTTGTTGTCAGCTTGTGACCCACCTGCGGGAGTCATAGCTCAACTTCATAGAATGTTTGCTAAATTCTTTTGGAGCAATTCTGTGGGAAATTCTAGTAAACATTGGGCAACTTGGACAGTATTATGTCATCCATATGAGGAAGGAGGAGTAGGTTTCCGAAGCTTACAAGACATATCAAAAGCTTTATTTGCTAAATTATGGTGGAACATGAGACAAAGGAATCACTTTGGAGAAACTACATGAGCAATAAATATCTTAAAAGACATCATGCTGTGGTGGTAGAAACCAAGACAAGTACTTATGTATGGAAGAAGATGATCAAGGTGAGAGAAGAGGCAGAATCTGAAATTTGGTGGTTAATAAGGCAAGGAAATTCTTTCTTTTGGCTAGATAACTGGACAGGGAAAGGAGCACTTCATAAACTCATCCAGCAGGTGTAGAATATGATCAAACAGTAATTCTAGTCAAGGAAGTATATGAGGCAGGGCAATGGAATGAACATGCACTAAGAAACCTACTTCCTCAAAAACTAGTAGAAGACATTCTCAATCCAGTTAATTCACCAAAGGAGGAAGAAGAAGTGGATATACCTTATTGGAGACCGGATCTCACAGGAAGATTTACAGTAAGTTCTTCCTTTCCTCATATCAAACAAAGACAGGAAGTGAATAAGATTTACAACTACATGTGGATTAAAGGTATGCCTATTAAAATATCTTTTTTTATGTGGAAACCGTGGAAGGCCAAAATACCACTAGATGATACTTTGAGAAGTTGGGAATTCAATTTCCTTCTAGATGTTTTTGTTGTGATCAACCAAAGGTAGAGGACATATCCCATGTCTTTCTACACTCTCCAACTGCTCAACAGGCATGGAAACATTTTTGTGGACCTGTAGGTATAAGAATGGAGAACATGCACTGTTATGATCTCAACTAACTGATAAAATGTTGCCGTTAAGAGTCGAAGTCCGGAAGGAGTATAAGTCTTAACTGAGTAAATAAAAGAATGAAGGGCCAAGATTTATTTCAGTTAATTAAGCTCAAGGGACGAGATCGTGCCACGTGGACAGATGGTTATATATACACATCACAGACGAGAGAGAAGGCTAACTAAAATCTGGTAATTCTCAGCCCTTTCCTCGTGCTCTTTTCTCCCTCTCAAATTCTCTGCTCATCTGATTCTTTCCTCTCTTCTTCTTCTTCTGCAGATCAATTCTTGAATGGAGCTCAATATTAATCTCATTTCTTTTACTAGTTAGAATTTCCCTGTTGGTTTGAGTACCATTTCTCTGTTTTTGATAAATAACAGAAAATTCCCAAAAAGTGTTGAGTTGATTGTTTAATTTCTATATTTGAATTTTGGTCTCGGTTGAGATCATAACATGCACCTATCTCAAGTGATAAATCAATGGTGGGAAATAAAGGTTCACCATCAGGTGAACTACATCTTTCATGATGTCCCTGCCATCATTCTTTGGGAATTACGGAAAAGGAGAAATAAGGTGCGACATGGAGGAAAGATGTCAAATAGTGACAGATCTGCTGAGTTCTCAACAAGAGGCACGAAATACACAAATTGGAATTCAAGGCACATTAGAGCTTATTCTAGAAAGGCTGGGTGCGTTAGAAAGAGCTCCTGCTGGTCAGAACATTGGAGGAGGTTTACTTCCTATTCCAGCTCAGGATAACAGAAACCGACCCCAACAGACTCCTATCCTTCCACCAAGATGGGAATTGCCCTCTTTTGAGGGTGAGGAACCTAAGGTATGGATTCGAAAATGCGAGAAGTACTTTGTTCAATATAAAATACTTGACAGAAGGTGGAATCTGCTGTTTTTTATTTGAATGGATTGGCTGAGGTATGGTATCATTCGTTGGTGTTGAGTAGAGGGTTAGTGACTTGGATCGAGTTCAAGGAGGAACTGATCAGTCGTTTTGGTGAAATACTAGTGGAAGATGTGGTTGAGGAATTCAACAAATTGAGCCAAGCAGGTTCTGTTGATGAATTCCTTGGGAAATTTGAGGACCTTAAGGCTCAGATGCTCATTCGAAACCCTGCACTAAATGAAGCTCATTTCCTGTCAAGCTTCATAGGAGCGTTGAAAGAAGAAATCAGGTTCGCTGTTAAGCTGTTTAAACCTACTACATTGAAGATAGCCATTGAAAAGGCTAGGATGCAGGAGTTAGCTATTGAAGCTGCTCAAAGGAGGAATAAGACAAGTACCAGATCCACTCAACTTGTGACTAATACGGTTGTTAACAAAGGGCCTGCTAACCCTGCTGTTAAGAACACAACATTTCGACTCAGTCCGGAGGTGTATGAGCATAGGAAAATCAATCATTTGTGCTTCAGGTGTGGAGAGAAGTATGGGCCTGGTCATGTCTGTAAAATGAGGCAATTAAATTGTTTGATAGGGGAAGCAGAGGCTGAGATTGATATGAGTGAAATTATTACACCCCAGGAAGCAGATGAACCACCTGATGTGATGATAGAAGGAGTAGTAGAACAAGAGATTCAACAAGCTGTCTGTCTGAATGCTTTGACAGGTCATAATCAAGGTGAAAACACTATTTTAGTGGGTGGTACTGTGAAGAAGAGGCAACTTACTATATTGATTGATTCAGGTAGCACTCATAGTTTCATAGATGAACACACCGTCCAAGCTACTGGACATGAATCAAGCCATTGCCCTCCTGTGAGAGTGACTGTGGCTGATGGCAACTATGTGATGTGCACATCCCATTGCAAGGGTTTTTCATGGAAAATGCAAGGGAGAACATTTATTGAAGACCTACTCATCATTCCTTTAGGAGGTTGTGATTTGGTACTTGGTAATGACTGGATGAAAAAGCACAACCCCACCAAGTTTGACCATGAAAGAAGATGTGTCATTATTGGAAGGAAGCCGAATAAACTAGTTTTGCCGGCTCTAGTAGAAGGTAGTTTGAAGATGCTCACCAGTGGTTCCATGAGCCGAATGCTGAAGAAAGGACATGCTCTTATCGCTCACCTGTTCATGATGAGCATGATACCAAATGCAAGTGAAGACCCTACTGATGCTGCAGTACAGGAGGTGATAGATCAGTATGTTGAGGTGTTTGCTGAGCCTAAATCCCTACCACCTGTGAGATCATTAGATCATGCCATTCCACTAAAGCCTGGGGCTATGCCAGTTAGTCTGAGACCCTATAGATATAATTACAACCAGAAAGATGAGTTGGAGAAACAAGTAAAAGAGATGCTCACCAGTGGAGTTATTCAGCCTAGTCAATCTCCATTCTCTTCACCAGCCTTACTAGTCAAGAAGAAAGACGGTACTTGGAGATTTTGTGTTGATTATAGGGGCCTTAATGAAATCACTATTAAGGATAAGTACCCTATTACTATAGTGGATGATCTCTTAGATGAGTTGTGTGGTGCAGTCATTTTCTCCAAGGTCGATCTCCGGGCAGGCTACCATCAAATAAGGATGAAAAGGGAGGATGTGTTCAAAACTGCTTTCAGGACTCATGCAGGACATTATGAGTTTAAGGTAATGCCATTTGGCCTTACCAATGCCCCAGCTACTTTCCAAGCCCTTATGAACCAGGTTTTCCAACCTTTTTTGCGAAAGTTTGTCTTGGTATTCTTTGATGATATACTTGTATATAGCCTTACAGTAAATGATCATGTGCAACACTTGAGAGTTGTGTTTGAGACCCTCAAGAACCATTCACTCTATGCTAAGAGATCAAAGTGTTCGTTTGGCCAATCACAAGTGGAGTACTTGGGGCATGTTATTACCAAGGAAGGTGTAGCTACTGATCCTCACAAAATTAAAGCCATGGTTGAGTGGCCTAGACCAAAAACACTCAAAGCTCTCAGAGGATTCCTTGGTCTTACTGGCTACTACAGAAAGTATGTTGTTCATTATGGTACTATCAGCAGGCCCCTCACTGATTTGCTAAAGAAGGATGCCTTCAAATGGAATCCAGAGGCTGAACTAGCATTTGCAGCCCTTAAAACAGCTATGAGCACCACACCTGTGCTTGCACTTCCTGACTATTCACAGGAGTTTGTTGTTGAAACTGATGCCAGCCACGGCGGTATTGGTGTAGTACTTATGCAAAAGGGAAGACCAATTGCTTACTTTAGTAAGGTGTTAGCACCCAAGCACAGAGGCAAGTCAATTTATGAGAAGGAGTACATGGCCTTGCTAAGTGCCGTGGATAAGTGGAGACACTATCTCCAGTTCAAGCATTTTGTTGTGAGGACTGACCACCACAGCTTAAGTATTTACTGGAACAAA